TATTAATAACTAAATGCATCTGTATTATTTACTGAAAGGTGCATTTGTGTTTATCTTCTTGTTGAGCACATTGTGACTTAATTGATGATCACGAGTTTGTTGCGGTGTTGCGTAGCCTTTTTTGGTAGATTAGTTTGTTAACACTTTTTTTGTTTTTGTTATAAAAACCTCGTACATTGTTTGTTTCATTTAACCTTTGCAATGCAAGTAAAATTTAAATTACGCAGAAAGCCATATTTTTAACAATTTGCTCACTATAGCGCGTCAAAACACAGAGGACAAACACAAATATATTGTTCTCTCTGCCTCTCATTGTTCTCCTCAGCTGCTAAATCCTATTTACGTTTTAATTAAAATTTATTGCAGCCATAGAGTTCAGTGGCTCAAAAATGCAGGGGCTATTTAGTTTCTCTGCATGGGCAATTTTGAGAAATATTTAGAAGACAAAACACACATTCTGCTGCAACTGGCATTGCGTAGATACCACTGAAATTGTTGAAAGGTGTCTGTGCGCGTTTTGTTGTGCAGCACTTTGGTGACTTGGCGACTTCCACACCGTGAAAGATTAGGCACCCTGCTTTTTGTTTAGGCTACTCCTTTTTTCTAACTCAAAATTAAAACCTGCAAACACAAACACAAAGACACACACATTAAAAGGTGGTAGAAAAATAGTAAAACGACAAATAGAAAAAATTACTAAATGAAATGCACTGAATGCCCTTGCTGAAAGAAAGGGGACAGTTTCTAGTAATTATAATTAGCTTGGACCATTTTCTGAGGATTTTGTTGCTGTTGTCGTCGTCGTTGTCGTTTTGTGTGCTATTCTTTACCTGTCTACAACCTTTTATCACGTTCTTTGCCTTTTGTACAATGATGACTCTCGGTTATCCTCATCTGCACAGCCTTTAGCTACTCATTGAATTTGTAAACAGTTTTTGTTTTTCTTTTTTGTACGACTTCTTTTGTTCGGGTTTCTGCATTGAAAAATGATCTTTTTGTTGTTAGAAAATTGATAGAATTTGCTTCTGTGTCGCTTTTAATTGGCCTGAACATGTGGAATTCAGCAGCTAACTTTTGTTCCTCCTCAATGGTCGATGTTATTTACATTTTTGCTGCTGCCAAATGTGGTAACCAAGACTTAAAGCCGATTAGGTAATTGCTAATTAAAATATCTGGTTTTCACTCAAATAGCAAAAAGTGAAAAAGTGTGCAAAAGTTTGATTTTTGCAAAAAAAGGTTTGACGCAAAAACTGTAGACTGTGGAAACTGGAGCTGATCTTGCCACATCTTTCTTTTGCTAATGTCAGTAAACCTGATAGCACACGAAACCCTACAACCCCTCATTGGATTTCCTATTCATATTTGACTTGCTTTTTTCCAACTAATCTACTGTAACTAAAACTGCATTTCGCAATCATTGCACTGAAGTTTTTAGCTGGAAATGTTTTCCCTTTTCAACCGTGTTTTCTCTGTGTTGCCTTCACACACGCACTAATCTAGTTAGGGAATTTTGTCAAACATTTATTTCAAAATTATTTTTGGTTTAATATTTGGCACTAATTTAATTTTTTATAAAAATAAAAACGGCAATATGTCTAAAACAGATTTAGAGCACCTTGAGTCTACTTTGCAATATTATATAATGTGCCGATAATTGTTTTTGCTAATGCAAAAACAGGTAAAAATAAAATTGTTTTACATTGCCTGCGGCAAATTATTCTATAAATTTCCGTAATGCACCAATTTTCTACTTTGGACATCTTGTTGAATGTTACATTTTGTAATGCAAAATCTAATCTAACTCTTTTTTTACTTACTTTTTTAGCAAAGTTTAGTGTTTCATAAGTGCATTTTAGTTTTCTCTGACATTTTGGACATTACGGTGACATTAGTAAATGAGTTGACTTTTTTATATTTTTTTTTGTACTAACTAAAACCATATTTTACAGTCATTTAAACAAATTTTGTAGATGTCGTCACTGGAAAAAGCTGAAGATAGCTTTAGCAGTAGAGTAACACAGTGAATAATATTAATGTCAATAATTTACATTTTAAAGTTAATTTGCTTTTTAGCTTTAATGCACTCGTCAGTCTGACTGTTTCTTGCTCAAGAGTTGAGTCGTGTAGCTTTCTTTATTTGCTCTACCCATTAGGCAATTTTTTAAACTTGCAAAAAAATAGAGTCGAAATGTGCGGAAGGAAAATGTTGAAGGAGAGTTGCAAAGTAATTTCCATTGCCAAGGCAAAAAAGCATTTTTATAGTTATTTTGTTTTTTACAAGTTATACAACTTGCTCACTAATTGTAGGTTTTCAGTTTTGATTTTTTTCAAACAAAACAAAAAAATTGTTGAAAAAATTGTACAATGTACAGATTTACATATTTTTTAAAAAAGAAGGAAGTATAGTTTGAATATTGCAGTCATCAGCAGTGTTACTGTTGATTATACTAAAAATCTGACAAGACAAAATTCAAGTTTAGCTACTATCTATTTAAAAATTAAAATAGTTTAAAAAAAATTTAGTCAGCAAAAAGTTTGATTTTACTGTCGCACTTATTTTTGTAGCCGTTTCCGGTATTTTAACATGTGACCAATTTTTCAGATTGTGACTGCGTTTTAAATTTTATAAAGAAAAATATAAGGTACCTTTTTGAAAAGTTTTAAAACAAACAATAGCACCAAATGTCTCTTTATATTGATTTTTCTGCAGTAAATTGTCAAATTCATTTTATTTTCATGCAATTTATCATTTTCGTTTTGCACTTTTACTATTTTTTTTATTTTTTAGTTTTTTATTTGATTTAATTACCTAAATCAATCAATCATGCAATCATTGCCATTTTACTTGTTATGTTTGCTTTAGTTTGAGCAGTAAGTAATAAAAACAACTTCAAACAATTTTTGTCACTAGCGCAGCAGTTTTTTCTGTTTTTAAATTGATCAAATTGAAAACATTTTGAGCATTTTTAGAGATTTTTTTGATAAAAGCAATTGATTGCCTCGAGCAAACAAAAATCAGCAATATTAAAAAACATAATCATCTGATTTTGTTTTACCCTCAATTCAATTTGAAACTATTAGTTTAGCTGGTCAGCATTTAGCAATTTTTTTATGATTTAATAAAGAGCAAGGGTTTTTTTGTAATTGAATCTTTCGTTTTGAGTCCAATGACTCAAAAATATAATAAAGCGCAACACTACAGCATTCAACTTTTTTTGCGTTATCCTTTGAGAGGTATTATTATAATGAGGACTTTTAAAAACATCTTTTTTTAAAAGTATCATTGAATTTTAAATTGAATCAATTCAAACTGATTAAAAATGAAATAAAAACTTGTGCTTTACAGAGCTAACAAAAAAGCACTAGCTGACATTTTCAACATTTTTCTGAGAGCAAACGAAGAACATGTCTGTGAGGCGAAACTAATTTGACATGTTTAAGCTTTTAAAGCAGCTCGACAGTTTTTTGTGACTGCAATTTGTCATCATCAACATCCAGAGCAACATCATCATTTCTTGAAGAGTGAATTGCTACTAATTTATTTATTTACATTCATTTTAGTTTGAGTGAGCAGCAGCAGCGGCCTTAGTGATTTGCAGATTGTCTCCTTGGGGAAAATGCTGGGAAAATGCTGAGAATCCCTTTGAATCAGTGTTCAGTCATTTCGGGTACTACCTCTTCAGTGAACCCTTTCATCTCTGTCTCCTTCAGTGAGCCATCAGCGAGTGAATCAGTCTCATCATCAGAATCGTTTTTTTATTTGGTAAATTTTATGTTTATATGTACAGAGCACACACACAGGCAGTCTTTCTTTCTCTCTTGTTCAATTTGAATAAAGAAGTGATTCAGGAGGGGGTAGATGGAGAAAAGGAAAGAGAAAGAAGGGAAGGAGGGAAAAGTACTTGAATAGTCAAAACGCCAGGGGAGTAAGAAGTTTGGGGTAAACGAAAAAAACGGAGAGAAAGGGAGGTTTTGTGAGTGAGTGTATTTGCCAAGTGCCATTCACTTTATTCTCTTTCTTCATTTCTTCCATCCACTTTTCTCATTTTTTTGTCATTCCTGCAAACGACTGCTGTCACCCTAATGTGCACCCACTGTGTGTTAATCAATCACAATCACACATCTTTCTAGTGTGTGTTGATAGGATAGGATAGCTGCAGAAGTGAGAAAAATAGAGAAATGGAGATGTGTAGATGCAGAAGAAGAAGAAGGTATCAACGGCAAAAGCAAAGTGGAACCAGTCAGTGACAGGAAGTGAGAAAGAGAAAGTGTGTGTGAGTGCAAGTCAATTGAACAGCAACAAAGAATAAGGAGAGAAAGAGAAAAACAGAGATAGAAAAGTTTTTATAAAAAAACTTTCAAAAGGGGAGAAGAAAAAGGTGAAAAGGAGAGTCACAGACAATGGGGGAGAGAAAGAAAGAAAGGGGGGAAAAATGGGAAATGGTACAAGAAGAAGTGGTATGAGTTGTGTCAAAAGGCTGTACAAAAGGTGAAGAAGATGAAGAAGAAGGTGATGATGATGATGATGATGGCGGTGATGTGTGAACAACACTGAACAGTTTGTTTGTTTGTTGTTCTTGTCAACTGAGCAAACACAGACAGGAAAAAAGAAAGGAGAACAGCAGACCGTTTCACCGTCAGAACCGTTCACTAAACTCAAACAACTCCTCATCGACGTCCTCGTCGTCGCTCTCATCCTCCGTCGAAACGCGCTTTATTGCCAGGTACTTCTTCTTCTTCTTCGAACTGGGGTGAACTGAATTGCTGTTTGCCGTTGTTGTTGTTCTAGAGCTTCCATTCAGCTGGCTCTCCACAGCTGATCCCATCATCAGCTGTTCGCTGTCCAGATTGTTGTTGCTGCTATTACTTCTGCTGTTGTCGAGGACCGTTGTCACGAAGCTCTGGTCGCCCTCCTGCTGCTGCACGACAATGTCAATGTTGGCGGTGGTGGTGGTGTTTTGGCCAGTCCTCGGTTGTGGTTGACTTGTTGAAGATGACAGCTTCCGGACCAGCACCTCCTCACTTTTGTAGTTTGGATTGACGCCCGAGTGTAGGCAGTTGGTGGTGGTGGTGGGTGTTGTGCTGCTGTTGCTTACGACGATCACTGTCGTTGCGGTGGCACTTGATGGCTGCTTAGCAGTTCCACTAGGCACAATGAGCGCCGGCGTCTGGTCGGTGTTGGGCGCCACTGCGTTGGTCATCATCGCCGCCGTGCTCGCCTCCTCCATCATCTGTCCGATGATGGTGGTCGTCTCTGCGGCGTACATTCCTCCTCCCTGTCCAGGAATGCCCAGATGTAGCTGAGAGGGCGGCGCCATGGTGGCGTTGGTGTAGCCCCCGCCGCCTCCGATTCGAGTAGTGGTAGCACCCGCCACGCCGGTCGTTCCGCCGTTTCCATTTCCATTTCCGTCCCCGTTATCACCGCCCCTTCCGCTGCCCCCCACCAGTTGGTTGCCGTTGGCGTCCAGGCCGCCGCCGCCGCCGCCGCCCCCATTCTTTGATTGGTGGTACTTCAGACAGCGAAAGATGTCCTCCAGCGTCTGCTTGGCACTCTGGCGGAAGCTCGCGTTTAGCCAGCAGTAGATCAGTGAGTTGTAGCTGGGTAGAAAAATTAGATAAAGGGGAAATATGAAAACAACATTTTTTTGCAGATGATGATCAATTACTACTTACCAAACGGAACTCATTGCGAACCAGTGGCACTGTAGGGGAGGGAAGAAAAGGAAAATACAAAAATTTGTTAGATTTAAAATGGTATAAAAACACTTTTTTGTGATTGACTAAAAAACTGAAATGGGATTTTTAAATGTAGATAGTTTTTTAACTGTTTTTGTCTAGCGCTAAAAACGACAGTAATTTCCAGCTGTGCACCCCCTGCCATTTTCTAATATAGCCCCTTTTCTCACTTTTTCAACGGTTTTAGTTGTCGAGCAAAATGTGTGTTGCAGAAATCACATACGTTGCCTGACCTAAAATTAAACAGTCCCATCAGTGGGTCATTAAAAAGTTATTAAGTTATAGAGAGTAGTAAAAGCTGCTTAATTGCAAATTGAAATAAATTGAGCAGCAGCAGCTTTACTTTAATTGACTTTGAAGTGATGTGAACTGGCGGCACATTGGTACAGTTGTGAAAGTGAAGTTTGTCATCATATTCTTTGTTATCGCTTACTCCATACTCAACAAATAGTGTCTTTTATTGCAGCTATCAATAAATCACGTTTTGTTGCACTTTTAATTTTAGTTTTAATCTAACTTGACTTGCCCGTCTGTTTGTTTTTGAAGGCCAATTTTTCTTTATCAACAATTTTCTGTTTGCAATTGATGTGCTGTTGGCACCCGCAACTTATGTGTTGACATGTTGAAAACTTTGTTTACCAATTTTTCCATTTTAGTTTGGCTCAGTTTTTTCTCCGTTTGGTTGTTGCAGCCTCATGCAGTACGGCAGTACTTTTGCACTCAAATTCTTTTTTTTATTGTTTCCTTTGCATCGTCTATCTTTCCATCTGTCAATCGCTGCTCAGTTTCAATTTATTCTTTGTTTTTTTCTTCTTCCTCTTCCTGCAATTTCATAATCTGTTTCACCCAAAATTCTTCACTTTTTTACTTAATACATTTCCGCGGAAAAGTGCAAGTGCAAGTTCGGTAGTAGTTTGAATGAAATGCAGCTGATGTATTATTACTATGACTGCGCCATTTGCGCATTCAATGCATACAGCCACACATTTACCAACTTTTTTTGTTTTAGCAAAATTGTCGTCTAGCCAGTCAGACAGACTGATACTGCTACTGCTGTTCACTTGAAGGAAATTGAAGTTTTTTCTTCTTCGTTTTCTTTTCTGCGTTAGTAATGCTGAATAATTGATTTGTGCGTGTATGTGTGTTTTTAGAAGTAGGGTGTGTGTGCTTGACACAGCCAAAGTGTAGCCTATTTGTAACAATTCACTTTGTCTTGAAAAGAAGAAGAAGAAAGAAAACGATCCTTCCTAGAATGAGACGCAAGATTGTTTACACACCGATTGGGTTTTTTTGTTTTGTCTGCTATTTTGGTTGACTAATCACTGCCAGTATAGGGTGTCCAAATGACTACTATAACTTTCATAACTACTTCCGTTAAAATTGTGAAAATAGTAATTTTTTCAATTTTTTGTTACTGATTTATTTGAGTACTTTAAAATTCTGTCTAGGCAAGCATTTTTTCACTGCAACTTTTTTCTTACACAAAAACAGCATTTTATTTAAATTTTGTCACTTTGATTTGCTACAATTTAGTATGCAACACAGTTTTTATGCACAGCTTTTTATTTTTTAACACTTTTTACTCCAACGCGCATTTCTCTATCCTTGTTGTTTTTGGTTTTGCTGCACTCAAAAACTGCATTTTTGCCGTCACTCAGTAGTGAATGTTGCATCTCTGTTTGCATCNGGTCAGTCAGTCCATCAAGATTGTGTGTGTGCCCAAATGCAGTGCAGTGAAGTTTCCCTTCCTTTCCCCTCTTTCGGTGGAATGCAATCACGACGGCCGTTGGCCGCCACTTCATCCATCTCAATTGAAGTGAATGTCAATTTTAATAAACTTCAGCTTTTCTGTTTGGAGCAGTTTGGCAGTCTGTTGACTGCGAAATATTTTGTGCAACGAGCAAAAACCTGCACAAGTGGCGATTCATGCAGAACCTTGTGATCAACGTTTTTGGAATGGCAAAAACAACGACAACAATAAAAAAGAAGTAGTGTCAACAGTGGTGATACTATTACACTACAAGTGATAGAAAAATGTTCACAAAAATCCCTGACCGTTTTTTATTGTCACTTGTTTAGGTGAACATTCCTCAAGCAGGGGCTCTCAGTTCAACTGCTGAAACATTTTTCAGCGTTTTACTAGCTGGTATCATCATTTTGGTACCATTTCTCAAGTTTAAACCTAGATTTTCTGCAAGTACACACTGCGTACAAAGTAAAAGCAGATTAAAGTTAAATCGTAATTTATTTTGTGTTTAAAAGTAATGTGCATCAGAGTAGTAGTGAATCTCGTCAGGCTAATTCTTTTTCTTGCTAAGAAGATTCAAATTTTATTTTTTAAAATTTTACTAGCAAACTTTTTCTTAACCCTTCATCAATTTTGCTTGCTGGTATTTTAATTAAATTTTATTTTTTGTTTAAAAAAACTTAAAAGTAGCTCTGCTTTAAACTTGAAAACAAACTTTTGGTAAAAGTAGATGAGGAAAGTTGTACAAAATAGACACAAAAGGAAAACTATTTACAACCGCTGTGTTGATTGACTTTGACGACATTAAGCAAAAAAGAAAAAAGCATACTTTTTTTTCTTATAGTTAGGCAAGCAAGTTTAGCGCTTAGCAAATCTTCCCAACGTTTTATTTTTTTTCCTTTTGTCTGCAAACTTAATATGTAGAGGCTGGCAAATAGAAGAAGAAAACGAGGTTGACGAATTAGAGGCCAAAATAGAGGGAGACAACTATTGAAATAATTAGGCATCTTAGACGACTGTGCCTCTGGACACTGAACAAAGGAGGTGGATTATTTTTTGCAAGCAACTTTTTTTCTGGCTGCCGTCATTGCATCTCTTTCTCTTCTGATGTGCGTCTTTCTAGTCAATCGAATGGTCTTTGTCGCCCATTGACCGTCACCCAGTCACACAGTGTGTGTCCGATGACTGTCACGACTGTCTCTGCCCATTACCGGCCATTGCCTCTATCCTCTTTCTCTCTCATTTTTTCTCATTCAGCTCTTGCAAATTACACTTGCTCTACTAGCCACACACAAAGCCGCCACTTTATGTGTCAGCCATTTTTTCTCTTATAGAATTCTCGGTTTTCTATTTTTTTATTTCGATATGTTTGTTTTTTTTATTGGCAGCCTCAGCAATGGTTTCTTATTTCTCAAAGATGTCTAATGTGTTGC